AACAGCATGGAGGTTCCTCAAAAAGTTGAAAATAGAGCTACCCTACACCCAGCAATCGCACTACTGTGTATTCACTCTAAAGATTCAAAGGTAGTGATCCAAAGGGACACATGCTCCCAAATGTTATAGCAGCAATATCCACAATAGCCAAACTATGGAAAGAACCTAGATGTCCATCAACAGATGAATGGATAAAGAAGATGTGATACACACACACACACACACACACACACACACACACAATGGAATACTATGCAGTCATCTAAAGAATGAAATCTTGCCATTTGTGACGATGTGGATGGAACTAGAGGGTATTATGCTTAGCGAAATAAGTCAATCAGAGAAAGGCAATTATCATGTGATCTCCCTGATATGAGGAAGTTGAGAGGCAACGTGGGGTGTTTGTGGGGTGGGAAAGGAATAAATGAAACAAGGTGGGATCGGGAGGGAGACAAACCATAAGAGACTCTTAATCTCACAAAACAAACTGAGGGTGACTGGGGGTAGGGGGTAGGGAGAGGGTGGTGGGGTTATGGACATTGGGGAAGGAATGTGCTATGGTGAGTGCTGTGAAGTATAAACGTGGCTATTCACAGACTTTACCCCTGGGGCTAATAATACATTATATGTTAATAAAAAAAAAAAAGAAAGAAAAAAGAGAGAGCTTCTGGTTTGTACCTCACTGAGAGGATTCTCTTCAAACCCCACACAGGAGTAATTGACCAGCCTTCTTTCATAATTAGCCAGAATAGCTTGTGCCAATATATAGCTGACTAGTTCCTTAAACTAAACTAATACTCTTTTTTTTTTTTAAGATTTTATTTATTTATTTGAGAAGGCAAAACAGAGATAATAGGAGAGAACACGAGTGCTGGGGAGGGGGGAGAGGGAGAAGTCAACTCCCTGCTGAGCAGAGAGCCTGATATGGGGCTTGATCCCAGGACCCTGGGATCATGACCTGAGTCAAAAAGGCAGATGCTTAACCGACTGAGCCACTCAGGTGCCCCTACATTAATACTTTTAGGGTGAAGACACTTTTAGGCTTATTTCACATGTTTTTTTGCTATTTTTCCCACAAAAGGGCCAGTGAAGATGTAAGCCAGCACCAGAGCAGGGGGATGGGAGATGTAAGCCAGGATGGCTAGTGTTCTGGAACATGCCTGAGGAGGGACCCAAAGTTCATACTCTTCCCAGTGGACCAAGATCTGAACCTCTGTGGTATATGAGATTGAGCCTCCTGCACACCTACTCTGGTTCCTTGGTGTGGGGTGTAACACCTGACATGTGCTGGTCAGGAGATATAGCTACCCTGAGATCCTTATGCTAGTCATTGCCCTCAGGGATGTGAGTCCATTCTTCTTGGGTAGCTCTCGGGAATTATTCTTAGAACTGTGCCCATGAATTCAGTTTTATTCCATGATAATCCTGGGATATGAATAGATCAACACACTCCTCACACAGAATATATTGGCCATGTTGGTTTTTTTTTTTTTAACCTGGTGTGGTGGCTAATTTTACATGTCAATTTGGAGGGTTTTTTGGATGAAATTAACATTTAAATGGGTGAATTTGGGGTAGATTGCCTTCCATAATGTGGGTGGGGCTCATCCAATCAGCTGAGAACCTGAGTAGAAGAAAAACTGACCTCCCAAGCAGGAGGAATTCTGCCAAAGATTGTATTTGCACTGGATCCACACCATTGGCTGTCCTGAGTCTCCAGCTTGTTGGTTCACACTGTAGATTTTGGGCTTGCCAGCCTCCATAATCCATGAGTCAATTTCTTATAATACATCTCTTTCTCTCTATATATACAAATCATATCAATTCTGTTTCCTTTTTTAAAAAAGGTTAATTTATTTATTTTGGAGAGAGAGAGAGAGAGAGAGAGAGAAAGAGCATGCAAGGGAGAAGGGGTGAGGGAGAGAGAGAATCCCATGCAGCTTCTCTGCTGAATATGGAGCTCAACGCCCGCGCTCAATTTCATGACCCTGAGATCATGACCTGAGCAGAAATCAAGAGTTGGGCTCCTAACCAACTGAGCCAGACAGTTGCCCCTCTCTTCTCTTTCTTAATACATCTCTTTCTCTCCATATATACAAATCATATCAAGTCTCTTTCTCTGGGGAACTCTGACCAATATACCTGGAGTAGTTATGATGGTTATTCATTCCCCTAAAGGGGTAGATATTGCATAGTCTTTATGGAGGGATCTGCTGGACTCTAAATATGGGGTCCCTTTCTTTTTACCCTCCTTCATTCTGGTTTCCCAGGCTTATGGTCAACAAGGGTGGGAAGAGTCAGGTGACCTGATGTCAAAGGCAGCTTTAGGAAGCTGGGTTTTCACTGAGGCTGAGAGGCAAATGTGACTGAAAGCACAACCCAACATGAGAACAGAGGAGAAGTCTCAAGCTCAGGTCCAAGAATTATGACCTGGGTCATATGCAAGAGATGAGTCTGGAGATTAGATTTTACATTTTTTTCAGTCTGGAAATGTGCACAGCTAAATGACTACATCTTCCAGCCTTCTCTGTAGCTAAGTGTAGCCTTGTTCCTAAATTTTGAGTGGAATCTGTTGGGCAAAACTACTACAAAGGGTCCTTAAAAGGGAGACAGCTGGGGCCCAAACTTTTGTCCTTCCCTCTTCATGGGAAGGAAATGAAATGGCTGGTGCGCTCCAAAAGCTATCATGCATTGTGAAGCAATCTGGGGTCCTTGATCATTTCATGGCACTGTCATCCCAGCCCTGGACTGCCTACTTCAGATTGCTTTTACATGAGGGAATGGATATGCTGTTCTGTGTTTGAGACACTCAGTCACTAGAACATGAATGTGATTAATTGGCTCAAAATGATTTCATCTCAACCCATATTTTGCCTCCTCCAGCCAATATGTTGGTCGAACATGGTGGGTCTGAGTAGCCTTGGGAAGTTTATGCAAGAGAAATGCACAGTGATGATGCCGGATGTGGCAGATGACATCCTGAGCTGGCTGGAGGAATTTGGGACAGACCCCGGCGAACTGTAATCTAACCAACGCTGAATGAGTACTTCACATAGTGGCCAACAGAAAAGAAAAAAAGAGTCCTGTTTATTGGGTGTGACAGACCAAGGAGCTAAAAAAAACTTCTAGTCTCCAGTATCCCCCAAGTCCTTGGTTTCAATCCAGATACTCTGACAGTTGGTGTTGTCTTCTGGAAGGATGTAGCTGATACAGTTATGATGTTAGAGACATTTCTACCAGACTTACTGTTACTAGCCCCCCCACCCCTTGTTGCTTGTTCAAAAAGGCATCTCCTGAGGGAGTCAGTTTAAGTACCAAAGTATCATCATCTGTACAAACTAGGAGTACATCCATGCAGCCCAACTGGGTTCAGTCACCTTACAGGGATATTTTGTTCTCACTAGAACAAGCCCTTTTATTAGAGACTGATCTGTCACTGAATTTTGTTATTTCATCCTTCAAAATGTCCTTTTCTTCCAGTTCTCAGAGCTAGGATTCACAGAACAGCTTTCTAACTAGCTTGCCCTTCCTGATATCAATGCCAGACTACCTTGACTGAAAAACTACTTTATACCTCAGTTCAGCTAAAGTGCTTCTTAACTTCTGTAACCAACCATATGTTTGAGGGTTTCTTTCTTTTTTTTTTTTTTTTTAAAGATTATTTATTTATTTGACAGAGAGAGAGAGAGATCACAGGTAGGCAGAGAGGCAGGCGGAGAGAGAAGAGGAAGCAGGCTCCCCACTGAGCAGAGAGCCCAATGCAGGGCACAATCCCAGTACCCTGAGATCATGACCTGAGCCAAAGGCAGAGGCTTTAACCCACTGAGCCACCCAGGCACCCCCATATGTTTGAGTTTTAGGCACATGTCTTACTTGCCTGCAACCTGATTTTCCTCCTTTACCCAGTCACATATTCTTGGTTAGTTTCACAACTGTCAGCAAGCCCCAGTGCTCTTGCTGAGAAGCCAGCTCAGTGGTTCCCAGTTAGCTATTCTCCACCCCAAATCCTAGTCATCCTTGGGAAGGGGAGGGGTGAGGATGGGGGTGGAAGAGAGTAGCTGAAACTATTCAGGACCTACTCTCAGCTTCCTTTTATATTATTCTATACAATAAGGACCCAACTTTTGCCAATAATTGTGTAAGGCTTTCCTAACTTCTGTATAAGGAGTCGTCGCACAATTCAGGATTATTTTTTTTTCATTGTTAAGAAAGCATTAGATGCAGTTCATCAGACAGTAGGAAAGAATCTTCTGTTGTACTTTTAAAAAATATTCTGAGCTTTTGGTTCATGGAAGTCCCTCTGAACAAACTCAGGACCGGCCTGGTAACGCTTAGTCATCAAAAAAGTACGAACTTTCGGTTCTAATCCACGCTTTCACTTATTAACTGTGTGATCAGGACAACCCGCTTAACTTCAGTGAGCTCATTAATGTCATCTGGAGTCAACGATGCCTACTCTAGGAGTGAAATAAAGATAAATGCATATAAAGCCCGCAGCATAGTCTCTGGCACATTGTAGGCATTCAGTAACTCCACCATCAGGCCGCCCGGGTCCTGGCCCCGGTCCCAAGGTCAAATTCACTCGGAGAGAAAGGTCACTCCGGGCAGCGGTTGGAGGGGCACTGGCTCTTCACCTTACCAGCGCCCAGTAGGGACCTCCCCAGACCGCTAGGGCGCGCCACGGGGGCTCACGGAACCACCGCCTTCACCAGGGGCGTGGATGCACCGGCCGCGGCCCTCCCCGCGGGCCCCCGAGGGGCGGGACTGCGGACCGTACCATCTTCCACTATGGGGGAGGTAGAGCGCGCCCTTCCCTTTGGTCGCACGCCCAGAGCGGGCAAGTGGGGGCCGCCGTTCCCCCAGCTCCCTGGGGCAGGACCCTTATACCCCTCGTTCTCGCATCCCCTGAGATCCGCGCGCGGGCCGGCTCTGGAGGGCAGACCCCGGGGCGGTGCGCCCCCCGGCGTGGGAGCGGGTGGGCGCGGCGAGCGCCGGGGGCGGGGCCCGTGGAGGTCGGCCGTGTCCTTGCGGCGCGGCGAGGGGTAAGCGTGTGTGTACGCCGGGCGGTCGGCGCGGCCACTCGGTCTCTGAGGTGTAGTCCGCGGGCAGAGCTCACCATGTTGTCCCGGGCAGCGCGCAGGTGAGGCGCCCGGGCCGCGTAGCGCAGCGGAGACGGGTCACGGCCCCGAGGGCGAGAGGTCCGCCTGCCTGCGTGCCCGCGCCGGCGCGCCGGGTCCCGGGCACCTTCGAGGCCCCGGGGTCGCGGAGAAGCGGCGGGCGGTGGTGCCTGAGGGCAGGTGTCCGCCGAGCGCGTCCGGGTGCCGCCGCGGCACGGGGTTGCCGCGTTGGTGTTACGCGTCAGGGAATGTGGAGGGGGAGCGAGCAAGCGGTAGAAAGGCCCAGGTGGCGCTGGGTCTGCGTAGATGCGTGAGCGAATCGGTCCGTGTCCCGTGTCTGCTCTTTTTGCAGCGCGAGCAGGACGCTGGTGCCGGCGTCTGGGTCGCTGGGTTCCAGGCAGAAGCACAGCCTCCCCGACCTGCCGTACGATTATGGCGCCCTGGAGCCTCACATCAGCGCCCAGATCATGCAGCTGCACCACAGCAAGCACCACGCGACCTACGTGAACAACCTGAACGCCGTCGAGGAGAAGTATCTGGAGGCGCTGGAGAAGGGTAGGTGCGGGGCTGCCGGGCGCTGAGCGAGGCGTGGCCGCGGGGGAGCCAGGGCCCTTCGGTGCGGGAGAGCGGCTCCGCGTGTCCTGGGATCCACGCGGGGTCAGAATTCGCAAGGAAAGCGGTCATTTTGTGCGAAACTGAAACAGGCTTGTGTGTATCTTCTGGTATTTAGAATTCAGTATTATGATAGAATACGGACTTACGCTTTTCTTTTTTCCTGAAGAGCCCAGTGGACCAAACCAGTAAGAAGTGTGTGGACTTTGTGTGTCTGGGGCGTGCGCGTACGCGAATCTGTGTTTTAATGTCTCTGTGCAAAATCGTATTACACTTTCCAGCCCGTTCATCAGTGGCTCGCACGAGAAGAGTGATTAACAGGTACCGCATAATAACCTGCCCGGTTAGAAGATACTTTGTTTCTTTATTTTTATGGACTTTAGGTCCTCTGAAATTTGCTGAGTAAATTTCAGACCGTGACGTCTTGTTGACTGGGGGCATCTAGTGGGAAAATGTAGTATTTCAGCCTCATTGCATGAGGTAATTGGCTAAACAGAAACAAGAGGAAGTTGCCACATTCTGGAAGATTTGTGACGGGAACCTTTTTGGAGGGGCGAGGGGGGGTAGTTTCATGATTTGTACGGGAAAGGGGTTTTAGAAAATAACAAAATCGGGAAAGATGTGCTAATAATGACAAGGTGGGGAATATCCCAGTTGCGAAATTATTTCCTGCATGACAACGCCTGACAACGTGAACCTTTCTCTTCAGTATTTTAAAAACAACTTAATTTCAGTCCTTTTCTTGTGCAATCACATCTTTACTTGTTTTCTTGAAAGTTACTGAAAAAAAAAACCTGTATATTATGTTGTGTTATATTGAGTATAGATTAATAAACACCGGTAGAGTTTTCTGTTATTTGAAAAATTATATATATTAAATACTGTTGAAGAACTAAATTTCCATGTTTGAGAATTTGGGGCGACAATATTAAGTGAAATAACATCATCAGTCTTGTTACAGGTAGGTAAATAAATACTTTTCAACCAAAAGTATTTAACTTCTATTGTACTTAACAGGAAAAAAATTGAATTGAAACTGAAGAAAATGTTGAACTTAAGAATAGTATTTTTATTTTTATATATTTACTTTTTTAAAGATTTTATTTATTTATTTGACAGACAGAGATCACAAGTAGGCAGAGAGGCAGGCAGAGGGAGAGGAGGAAGCAAGCTCCCTGCCGAGCAGAGAGCCGGATGCAGGGCCCCAACCCAGGACCCCGAGATCATGATCTGAGCTGAAGGCAGAGGCTTTAAGCCACTGAGCCACCCAGGCTCCTCAAGAATAGTATGTATGTATGTATGTATGTATGTATTTATATTTTTAAAAGATTTTATATTTATTTGACAGACAGAAATCACAAGCAGGCAGAGGCAGGCAGATAGAGAGGAGGAAGCAGGCTCCCCGCCGAGCAGAGAGCACGATGCAGAGAACACAATGCAGGGCTTGATCCCAGGACCCTGGGATCACGACCTGAGCCGAAGGCAGAGGACTTAACCCACTGAGCCACCCAGGTGCCCCAAGAATAGTATTTTTTTTTTAAAAAGATTTTATTTATTTATTTGACAGAGAGAGAGAGATCACAAGCAGGCAGAGGCAGACAGAGAGAGGGAAGCAGGCCCCTTACTGAGCAGAGAGCAGGATGCGGGACTCAGTCCCAGCACCCCGGGATCATGACCCGAGCTGAAGTCAGAGGCTTAACCCACTGAGCCACCCAGGCGCCCCAAGATTAGTATTTTTAAAAGCAGATTGTAATACCCCCCACATTTCTGTTATTATTACTGTTTTTTTTTTTTTTTTTTTTTAAGATTTTATTTATTTGTCAGAGAGAGAGGGAGAGAGAGCGAGCACAGGCAGACAGAATGGCAGGCAGAGGCAGAGGGAGAAGCAGGCTCCCTGCCGAGCAAGGAGCCCGATGTGGGACTCGATCCCAGGACGCTGGGATCATGACCTGAGCCGAAGGCAGCTGCTTAACCAACTGAGCCACCCAGGCGTCCCTGTTTTTTTTTTTTTTAAGATTTTTATTTATTCATTTTTGACAGAGAGAGAGACAGTGAGAGAGGGATTGCAAGCAGGGGGAGTGGGAGAGAGAGGGAGAAGCAGGCTTCCCACCAAGCAGGGAGCCTGACACGGGGATAGATCCCAGGACGTTGGGATCATGACCTGAGCCAAAGGCAGACGCCTAACGACTGAACCAGGCGCCCCCTATTTTTTAATGTAAACTCTGTTCTAGTATGGCGCTTGAACTCAAAATCTCAAGATTGAGTCATATCCTCTACCAACTGAGCCAGCCAGGGACCCCACAAATTTGTATTAAAATTTATTTATTTATTTATCTATTCAATTTATTTGAGAGAGAGAGAGAGAGAGAGAGATAACACAGGCAGGGAGGAGGGGCAGAGGGTGAGGGAGAAGCAGCCAAGCAGGGAGCCCTCTAAGCAGCTTGGTCCCAGGACCCTGGGATCTCCACCCAAGTTGAGGGCAGATACTTAACTGACTGAGCCACCCAGGCACCTCTGTATTAAAATTTAAAAATAACGAAGTAGGGACGCCTGGGTGGCTCAGTGGGTTAAGCCTCTGCCTTCGGCTTGGGTCATGATCCCGGGGTGCTGGGATCGAGTCCCGCATCGGGCTCTCTGCTCAGTAGGAGGCCTGCTTCCCTCTCTCTCTGTCTGCTTCTGCCTGCTTGTGATCTCTCTCTCTCTGTCAAATAAATAAATAAAATCTTTAAAAAAATGGTGAAATAAACTTTGAGAGGTTGTGATTATTAAGCTGGTTTTCAATAACCATGTTTCTTTCCCATTAGAAAAATTTAGTTACTGTTAATTTATTAAAAAACAATATAAAATCTACATTTATTTTTAGGGTGATTTTCCTGGAATAATTTCTAAGAGGGACACTGATCTATACTAAAATTATCCTGTGAACATAATAACAAGAAGTTGGCATCTTTAAACAACTCTCCAAGATGATCTGTGTATTCTGAGATCACTTGGCCCGTTTCTCCTCTTTGAGGTATGCCCTAAGAGCAGATTAGAGAACTTTTTCTATTATGTAAACTCCCTAAGCACACAGCTCTCAGTGGTTCTTGTGTCTTCCACTTTGTCTCTTAGTATCTTGTGAATAATAAGCACTTGGGACTTAATTGAACAAGGGAATTGCCATTTTCCCTAATAGTTAATCTTAGCTACTTAAAGGCATGAAAAACAATATTTTATTTTGCTTTCTTATTAGCAAGGTAGGAAAAAAGTTTTCCAATGTGACTTTTTTTGTATAGATATCAGAGAATTAATATTTTTTCCATGAATACTACATTTAATATATTCTTTTATCTAGTCAATCAAACATTTATTGACTGCCTGGTATGTAGAAGGCGATATATATATATATATATATATATATATATATACACACACACACACACATATATATATATATATATATATTTTAAGATTTTATTTATTTACTTGAGAGGCAGAGAGGCAGGCAGAGAGAGGAAGGGAAGCAGGCTCCCCGCTGAGCAGAGAGCTGGATGCGGGGCTCGATCCCAGGACGCTGGGATCATGACCTGAGCCAGAGGCAGAGGCTTTAACCCACTGAGCCACCCAGGTGCCCCTAGAAGGCGATATATTGGCCCCTGGGACATAGCAGTGCACTGAAGTCCTTAATACTGGAGCTTTTGTTCTAGTGGGGAGACAGATGGACAAGTAAATATGTAGTGGTATGCCAGGGCCATAAGTCCTATCAAGAAAAACAAGTTGGGGAACTGTTGAAAACTGCCCATTTGTATTGTGGTTTGTGAAGGCTCCACTGATGAGGTTGACGTCTGTGGAGACACGAAGGACAAATGTGGGAATGAGCCGGAGGCTCTCTTCAGGAAGAGTATTCCAGTCCAGGCAACGGCAGTCAGTGGAAACCCTAAACTGGGAGCAGGCTGAGCTTCTTTTGTAAGTGCAGGGAGGCCGGTGTGGCTGGAGCTGGGCCAACAAGGAAATGCAGAGTCAGATGACATGCACCTCGCAAGCAGATTGTAGGGACTTGGGGGTCACTCTGAGTGAGAGGAGCAGCCTTTGGAGGGGTTTGCCTAGAGGAGTGCCTCAGTAGTGTGGGGTCTAGAGGAGCTCTCTGGCCAGTGGTGAGAACAGAGAGTAGGGGGCACGTGTGGAAGCAGGAGACCGTTGTGGGCTATGGTGGCACAGATGCAGGTAGGTGATGCTCCTGGTCTGCCCCAGAAGTACGAAGAAGGGATTGGTTCTGGATCTTTTTTAAAGGTAGAGCTGGCTTTGCTGGTGGTTACGTTGGTGGGGTGAACATGGTGTGTGGGGAAAGGAGTAAGAAATGACCAAGTACACAGACCTGTACCCCTGAAACAAATAATACAGTATATGTTAATTAAAAAAAGAAAGAAAGAAATGACCTAGTTATCAAAAATGTCCTGAGAAAACAGCTGGCACTTGCTGGGATGGGGAAGGCTATTGGGTAAGTTTGGGAGTGAAAATCCGGAGTTGGGTTTTGAATATGCTGAGTTTCTTGTTTATGGAACATTGAACTATTTGTCAATGAAGTGTTGTCTATCTAAAAAATGAGAGTTGAAAGTCTACCATTTAAAAAAGTGGTTTTATTTGTTTTTAGTAATCTCTACCTCCTGTTACGGGGCTTGAACTCATCACCTCAGGACTAAGAGTTGTGTGCTCTCCTGACTGAGCCAGCCAGGTGCCCCAGAAAACTTACCATTTAATCTGTTTATGGAACCACGCATATCCTCATTTCACTGTTTTCGATCTTTGTTTTCATTATTGCTGAAATCTTTAATATCCAAGAAAATTTTGAGTTCTTTGGAGCTCAGGAAAGAATTTTCTGCATGTACCCCCTTGCTGAGCCACTCATGAGTTGTTCAGGACATTAATTGAACTGAAAATCCACCGGGACAAACAATTTTTGAAGAAAATTTTGTGTGTGTGTGTGTAAATTGTAGAATTTTAGGACCAATAGGGATGTTACAAATAAGCTAGTCCAATTATCAGATGCTTTTCCAAAGAAAATGGTATATAGAATGTTTGAAAAGTGAGAATCAGAAAAAAAAAATGTTTGCCTCTTTTACATTACAGGTGACGTTACAACTCAGGTAGCTCTTCAGCCTGGGCTCAAGTTCAATGGTGGAGGCCATATCAATCATTCCATCTTCTGGACCAACCTGAGCCCTAAGGGTGGTGGAGAACCCAAAGGTTGGTAGATATTGGTGTAGTCTTAGCTACGTTTTGTGCACAACAGCAATGCCGGTTGCTTTTCTTAAGTTAATTCTTATGTTATTTAGTGACATATTTTTCATAGCAAGGAGTATAACAAAGTTATAACTTTGAATGGGACATGGGTAGGAATGGAGACTACATTCAGGTAGTTATGTCATCAGCTTTTTTGTAGACACACAGAGTGTCAGATATGGTGTCAAGTTCTGGTTGAAATGTACTGTACTTTACATCAGAACAATACTGGCAAACGGATTTTAGAGAAGTTGAGCAAGCTGGGGGTGGGTCAGATACTTAATCATTCTGTACCTACTTTCTTCATCTGTATGACACAGGGACGATAATAGAGCTGTTTTGAAAACTAAATAAGTTATCAAATGTAAAATGCTTAGAATAGTGCCTTTTGCTGTTATTTTCCTGCTCTTCCTAACTGATAAAAAGCCAGTTGTCCCAGAAAATGAGATTCTCCAGGACACCTGGAGGGTAAATGAGGCGGCTGCAGAGCCAATGGTCTGTTCACTCTGGTGGGTTTACTTGACTTCCTGTATCTCTTCTGGAGGCCCAGATGACTTAATTACCCTCCTCATCCCGGGGAACAGATGGGGCGGAAATAGAGCTCTCCCCGTCTCTCGGCTTGTGGCATACATCTTAAGTTTCTGTGGATTTGTGCCTCTTCTAGTTGGCAACGGGAGAAGAATTAGGCACAAACAAGTCAGCTGCAAGAGATTGGGAGCAGGGGACGACAGTCGAAAAGACGGCTGCCACAAGCAACTCCACAGTTTCACTTTTATTGGATAGAAACAATAGCCAACAGAAGGACCGATGAAGGTCAAACGTTAGTCATGTCTGGCAGACAAGCAAGGAGGAGGATAAAGCTCATAGTTAACCAAGCACATTCAAAGGACTCATCTAGGGACGCCTGGGTGGCTCAGTTGGTTGGATGACTGCTTTCAGCTCAGGTCATGGTCTCGGAGTCCTGGGATCGAGTCCTGCATCGGGCTCCCGGCTCCACGGGGAGTCTGCTTCTCCCTCTGACCTTCTCCTCGCTCATGCTCTCTCTCACTGCCTCTCTTTCAAATAAATAAATAAAATCTTTAAAAAAAAAAAAAAAAGATTTTTCAAAGGACTCATCTAACTAACAACAGGGGCTTCTGGGAAGAAAAAGGAGCGATTACGGACAAGGGAAGCAGGCGGTTTTTGTTCCACCCTGAGCTGACCGGGCGTTCCCGGCTGCTCGGCTTCTCTGAAGCAGGCGGTGTTCCATCCTGGGCGGGCCGGGCATCCCCAGCTGCCCAGCTTCACCGTCGTATATTGTCCTTCTCCCCAAAGACCTGTTGGCCAGTATATGTATTTCTTAAGGCCATATCTGAATGTGCTTGGCAACTAGTAAAATCCTCCAGGGGTTATAGTTTAAGTAACAAATTATTCCAGGGGCAGTAGCAGATTTGTTTGTTTTTAATTGTTTTTTGGAAGTCATCTTAGGTGCTTGTACTAAGCTATTTCATTTGGAAGTAAAGATTAAGGGAGAGTAAATATGGCAAGCTGGGCATTTCTTTTTATGGGTTAGGTCTGCAGATGGGTTAGGTCTAATACGAGGTTTTGGGATTAGTAGAATATCATATATGCCCATATTTAGCCAACAGGTCTTGGTTCTCTGACACTTTGGGTTATCTGTACCATTTTATTATTTGTGCTTGTAATAGGTAATTACTTTAAACTAGTAGAATCAGAGAAGTGATATTTTTGGCCTACTTGATTTGATGTGCTCAATCTAGAATTGTATGTTACATTGGTACAGAATAAAAGGACTATTGCTCTTACAGTGTACCCTTTGGTAATAAAAGACAAAAATCACTGTTTTTAAAATTACATGATTGTGATAGGAAAGATCTTGACTGCCTTGGGGAAGAACCAAATAACAGCCATAAAATTTTATTCCCAAATTGAGACAGAACAGGTAGGGTAGAAGTTGAAGTAAAATTTTCTGTTGAAGGGAAATGAAACTAATGGAAAATATTATTTCTTTTCTGATGGGAGTAGCACAGTGAGGAAAGAAATCCCCCTAACATGGTTCAGTAACACCTGAATTACAGTTGTGAGACCTTATGATGCTAGTGTCAGGGAAGGAGTAATGTTGGGGCTCACTGGGTTATGTTATGTTTTCCAGGTGTTGTCTAGTTGGTATCTCGTGCCTCATGACAGGCACATTTTAATATATGTAATAAAATTATTTATTGTTGCAGTATGTTCACTTGTGGGTATTTTTGGATTTTTTTTTTTTAATAGGAGAATTGCTGGAAGCCATCAAACGTGATTTTGGTTCTTTCGACAAATTTAAGGAGAAGTTGACCACTGTATCTGTTGGCGTCCAAGGCTCAGGTTGGGGTTGGCTTGGTTTCGATAAGGAACAGGGACGCTTGCAGATTGCTGCTTGTTCTAACCAGGATCCACTGCAAGGAACAACAGGTTAGGTTTGAAAATTGTTTCATATTCATTAGTGTGAGATGGTTCACAGTAAAGCATTTACCTTGAAATAAGGGACACGAGCAGTGATTAAACCTATCTTGAGCATGTCCTAATGTGAGTAAATCTTAACAGCTGATAGTACTCTGAGTCTCCTATGAACAAAAATGCTTTAAGAGCCCTTGATGTTTTGCAAATTAGCACATGTAATTTTACAGATACATTAACAAAACATGTTTTGAACATAAACTCTGCTTCATTTGACAGAGAATGCATACCAGCTTACATAATTACATGCACTGAAATTAGATAAAACACCACATAGGAGAATAAGACCTGGAAGCCAAGTCTGACCTCAGACCTTAGACTGTCAGCCCGTCTGCTGAGCACCTGTGGTCAGAGTAGAACTGGAGCTCAGATTTCCAGAATTAGATGCCTTTTGGGGGGTTTTGGTTTTGGTATAGGAAAATATTTGGCTTAGAAGCTCCAGGCTGGGCTCACCAAATCCTTTTTCATGTTGAGCCGGATTGACTCAGAATGTTTTTAGGAAATAGTCACAAGACTTCCAGCAGTTAGTTGGAACTTTGATCTGCAGTGTAACCGACCTGCAGTGACATTTCAGTGTCCGTAACCAGTAGTTCTCAGCCCCGTTGTCTGCCTCTGTGCATGTCCACAGACTTGCTTACGTCCCTCACTGCCTTAGATACATTCAGAATTAGTCAAGATCTAATGGCTCTTTTGGCAAAGTGAGATGCTAGAGAATGCTGTGGAGAGTCAGGTCTCTTTGAAGGTGCCTGACAGACGAGGCTGTGATTTCCAGGTAAACCCTGGCCATACCTGTTTCTCCTCCACTTGAGGAAAGCCCATTGGAATGAAAATCTGTGAAAGTCATGGCAGCATATAGAGAGGAAAAATCATTTATGAACTTTGTTACCTTAATTACTCATAATACATGATTAGTGACAAACCTCTCCACTGCTCAAGACCTACTGGTTGGTACTTGTTTTCCCGGACGAGAGCTGTCATTTAGTTTGAGAGTTTTTGAAAATAAGTGTTGTAGAAGTAATTCCTTCTTTACACAGTGTCTCTTTTTCTTTGGTCCTGTTTAGTTTCCCTTGTTAACTTATTCTTTCTGTTAGTGTCTCACAAATGTTCTGTATTCTCTGAGACTAACATTATTAGCCTTGGGAGCAGAGCAGGTTGTCCTAAAACTCCACTGACTGCTTCGGAAGGTCCTTAACCACCCCCACAAACATAGTACCTTATTGACCCCCCCCCCCCAAACAATTGGCTCATGGGTAGATTTGCTGGTATTTCAAGAACAGCTCTTAAAATATTATACTTAATTTTCCAAACTCTATTTTAAATTTTTCACTCTTTATCACATTTTCTTCCAAAGACTAAAATAAAAAAAAAAAATTATATTTATTCTTGGCAAATTTCCTGTTTGTAAAAGAAACTGAAAAATGGATGGGAATGTTATAAAGGGCAATTTTGTGTGCATAGAAGAAAGTTTAAGTCATATTTTAGATTGAAATTCATAGTTTCTGCTTTTTCTCCCTTCTCTCCAATAGGTCTTATACCACTACTGGGGATCGATGTGTGGGAGCATGCTTACTACCTTCAGTATAAAAATGTCAGACCGGATTACCTAAAAGCTATTTGGAATGTAATCAACTGGGAGAATGTAACGGAGAGATACATGGCTTGCAAAAAGTAAAACATGATCATTACATTTAGCAAAATAAGCTTCTCACAACTATTTTTGTAGTAGTGCAGAGTACCGTAGTATGCCAGTAAGCTGCTTTTTTGTAGCATTTCTTAATGTAGCTTGTTCAAGCATTTGATGAACATGATTTAATGCTATGAATTTCTTGTTTTCAAATTTTGTTATTGGGCGACTGAAAATAGTAAGTGCTTTGTTTGATTTAGTCTTTTGGTTGAACATCTTCTTCTGAGAGCTGAAACAGCCAGCAGGTTATAATTGCCATCATAAAACTGTCAAAAAGATCTCATCCCTGTCCTCTTAGGGCCTCTGGGGAAGCCTTTTTGCTCCTGTTCTGTTGCACTTGTAGAAAACCTGGTCCTTTGCCCAGTTGTTTAATGATAAAAGGTTAAATTTGTTTCCCAAGGGAAATGTTCAGTTTTTCTATTGAAAATTGCTCTTTTTTGTAAGTAATCTGTCTAGTAGTACTTGTGGTAGATACCACCCGTGGGCCTTTAATTATCTTTGGTCACATGTTTCACAAGGTTAACACCATTTTGTCTTTTAAAAAAAAAATCACTTGATTGCTAATTGAGAATTGCTCTATTATGAAAAGGAAATAGTCATGCATTTGAATTTTTCTGTTGGGAGAAATAAGACTTTTATGTGGAATCTTGTCATCAGACAGAAATAATGTGTTAGGTGACTGCTCAAAGGGGACAAATCTGGGCTTTATTGATAAAACGAATGTTGGGGATGAGGCCACAGACCGTTCTGGCCAAGCACTTGCCCCCCCCGATCTCTGCCTGTTCACGAGCACCCCTCTGCAGAGCAGCA